TGGAAGTGGTGGGGACCCCGCTGGGCTCAGGCACAGCCACAGGGGCTGATCAGAGCCACTCAGGTGCCAGCGCTGAAAGTCCCTCCCACAGTCCCAACCTCTGCTCCGGCCCCAGCCCTGGAGGAGGCCGCTGCTTCGTGCCATCTCGAACTCCATGATATCAGTTTCCTCTTTACTTTTCCATGCAGTCGTCCCTGTGAAACAGCCGTGTGACCCGACCCAGAGCCACCTGGTTAAAGGAGACAGCAGCGCGCTCTCAGGTCAGCGTGGCCAGTTGAACGGGAGGCTCTGGGGGCAGGAAGGAAAGCTACAAGGAGACGCAGGGAGCAGGACATGGGCAGTGAGGAAGGACAGCTGGCCAGCCACCTATTCCTCTGTCACTGGGCCTTTGCTCCAAGAATATAGCGTAAGCAACCCATTCACTGTGAACGGTTACTGCTAACTGTGCTTAACCCACACCGATGAAGCATGAAAAACAATACCAGGCATAATGCTGATGGTTACACATATGCCACTTCATGTACCCTCAGCACAGCCTCATGAGGCAGGAATTAGTATCATGCTCACTTCTGGAAGAGACAACAGGGTTTGAGGTATTCAATAATGTGTCCAAGTTTGCACCACCAGTTAAGAAAGAAAAACAAGAGCCATAAATACAAACAGAATTTAAGTACGAGGAATCACTGGATAAAACTGTTAGCACTAACTTGTGAGCTATTTCCCTGGTCTGGGTGCTCCACCCTGGGCACCTGTGTTCACAGGGGACTCCTGGCTGTGCCCACTGTGGCAGGTGCTTGTGCCTTTGCCAGCCCAGTGCAAAAAATGGAGGACACGCTGATGAGAGCACAGACTGCTCACACAGCCTGTTAGCAACACAAGCACAGCACACTTCTGCACACTCACAAGCCAAAAAGGTTTCATATAAGACAAATGGATTATTTGGAAATTGTTCAGAGTCAGCTTTGTTGTATAGAGGAGAGGCATCTGAGAGCTTCAGACTGTAATTATTTGGCTGATTAAGATCTACCTATCTATTAATCTGTCATCTATCTGTCTGTCTATCTATCTATCTATCTATCTATCTATCTATCTATCTATCTATCTTTCTATTACCTATCATCCACCCATCATCTTTCTATTTATCATCTAGCCATCTATCTACCTATCTCTCTACCTATCTTCTACCTATTGATCTACCTATCTATCTCTCTGTCATCTATTTATTCACCTATCTATTTAATGATATCTAATCTAATTAATGATTTTGTTAAGCAATAATTTATATAAAGTAAAAAATGATCTTGGTTTCCTTTATTTTAAAATATTTTTATTGATTTCATAGAGGGAGGGCAAGGGAGAGAGAGATAGAAACATCAATGATGAGAGTGAATCATTGATCTGTTGCCTCCTGCACCCCTCCCCCCCAACTGGGGATCGAGCCTGCAACCAGTCCCTCAACAGCACCGGGCATATGCCTGACCAGGAATCGAACCATGACCTCCTGGTTCATAGGTCGACGCTCAACCACTGAGCCATGCCGACCAGGCTTGGCTTCCTTGTAAAGGTGAGAGGACTGGACCTGACCACTTGCCCAGAACTTGGCTCTCTTGCCATCTAGACCCAACTCTGAAATTCTTTACATTCGGAAGAAGTCACATGTTAGAAAATACTCAAGCAATTACAATGCTCAAACAATTTCACACTGACAGACTAAATGACAATGTACACTGATTGAAAACTCCAGTCATAGCAATTAGAATAATGTTCTGCAACTCAAAAAAAAGCTGCACTTGAAAATATCTTTTAAATTGTCAAACATGAAAATTTCCAAATAGTTTGAAGATTACCTAAATGTTCTGTTTTCTTCCCAGAAAACTGTGGTGCTTGTCAGGGGGAGGGGAGATGAAGAAGGAGAGGGTAAAGGGGGATAAATGGTGATGGAAGGAGACTTGACTTTGGGTGGTGAACACACAATACAATATACAGATGATGTATATAGAACTGTACCCCTGAAGCCTGTATAATTTTATTAACCAATGTCACCCCAATAAATTCAGTAAAAAATAAAATGAATTATATTTTCTTAATATCTGTGGGTTATTTTAATGCTGCCAGAATTTCACATCACTTTTAGGACAAGTTATTAGAAGCTATTTAATATTTAAAATGAAGTATATTTTGTAGAAATGATAGAAATGACTGGGTAAAATGATTTCTAAAAATTCATATCTGGCCACGAAGGGATAACCATTGAAGTAACCTGCTTTCTGCAGCAGAGGACAGTGGTCAGGAAGGCGTGGCTGCGGGTCTACTTCCCAGGGGCAAGGCTGCGCCTGGCACTTAGCCCCTGTGCTTTGCATATTCACACAGAGGGTCACTGACTACATCCATAGGTTATGACTGTAGCTTTGTCATTGATTAACTGTGCGACCCTGGGAAAACCAAAGTCTCTCTAAATGTAAGGAGATGAAATAGTGACACAGACTGGTCTCCACGGGGAGAGAGACATGAAAGTGCCTGAGGAGGCAAAAACTAGCAAACAGAGCACCTTTCCTGCTTTGGGGAGGGGAGGCAGACAGGAGGCAAATCCTGGCACCCAGAGAGGAATACACAGCAGAAACCAAGGTGCCTGGAGGTACCAGAGGGGGATTTGGTCGGGAAGCGTGTGCTCAGGGCTGCAGGGAAGTCAGGCAATGAGCTGGCGCGGGTCCGAGGAGAAAGAGCCACACAGGAAGGTCCCAGGGGAATCGGAGATGACCCGGGGCTGGACCCTGACAAGGGCTGCACAGTCTCTTCCCTCAGAGTTTGCGAATGTCCATCACAAACTCTTTCTCCAAGTTTGCCTTCCTGTACCTTGGGAATTTTGTTTGAATAAAACTTATAATTAAAGGCTTAAGAGATATTTACATCATTTTTGCTGGTCCAATGGCCTATGTACAGTGGCTCCTCACTTTGCATATCTCTGCATTTCAAGCCAACGTTGTGTTAAATAACACCAGTCCCCCACCAGCACCAGGTGCCTTTCAGTGTCCCCAGAGTATGGACTGGGAGAAGTTTCAGGAAGCCCAGGCTTAGCTACTAGGTTCTCAGTCCATAGGCCATGGCGCCCCCTGACCAACCCTCAGCCCAACACCTCTTTCGAGGGCTGTCAGGGCACCTGTCACTCGGGCCACACAAACAGCAGATATGGGGGTGCTGTCTGCTCAGGATGAGCCATGTGGCATTTCACACAGAAGGATAACCCCAAGAGGGACATGGTCACCAAGAGGAAAGAGCAGCAAGAACTGGAGAGGGCAATGGGCAGTGAAATGTAAAGATCACATAATGAAATTATCATATAAACTAGTGGCCTGGTGTATGAAATTCATGCACATTAAAAGGGAATTAATTAGAGGGAATATTTTAATATTGCTATTTGTCCTTTCTCTGTAATAGAAGTGTCAGAGATGAAAGAAAATTAGTAAAATGTATATGAAAATTTCCCTCCTGTCAGAGTCTGGGGTGCCCCATGGGACCTAGAGTCAAGTCCCTGCCCACCACCCGCACAAGATTAAAAAATGCAGGAGACCCAGACCCGGCCAGCCCTACCCCCATCAATCCCCTCCAGGGGGCGCAGCCTCAGGTCCCCTGTCTAGCCCCGTGGGGCAGGGAGTGTGGCCTGAGATCCCTCGCCCTGGCCAGGCATCATGCAGCCTCAGCTTCCTGCTGTCTGGAGTTATGGCATCTGGGCTAATTTGCATATTCCTCTATTATATAGATAGATGCCAGACCAGTAAAATGTAAATATCATCTAAGCATAAATGTAATAGAAGTGGGATTATAGGGCACATGGCCTAAGCCTAACCCTAACCCTACAGCCAGGCTGACCATGCTTCTGGTTGACTCCAGATGTGGAGCCAGAGGGATTCAGGAAAAGCAAACCTATGGATGTGGATGAGGAAAGTGGGGAGTCCCAGGAGAGGGACACAGGAGAAAGAGCTCCCCATGAAGGACTCTGGGACACGGTCCTCCACAGGCTCCCGCCGCCATGCTGACCTAACCCTTGGGAAGCACCCACTCACTGGCTCCATGCCCTAAGTTAGGAGAACTGACTGCTCAAACTATTTTGGAGAAATCTTTTTTTGCAAAGAAATAAAACACATTAATTCTCAATATTTTCACCATTTTAAATCACAGTGTACTACGTAACTATTAGTTTTACTGTATTTCCTTGTACATTTATAGCTTAGAATAAGAGAGTTTTTAATGTTTTAACAAACATTTGTAAAGACCATGAAAAGTCTCGTTTTCCCACTGATTATTAGCATCACTGTGCATGGTCTCCTCTCCTGGCCCCCACACTGTGCCGAGTGAGTGTGTAGTGTACTTCGCAGAATCAAACCAATCTAGGCTGTTCAATTGTCATATGAAAGCAGGTGTCTAAGGTTGAAGTCATTTTCTGAGTTTATAAAGCCCTGTCTTAAAAAATTAAAAGTTAACAACAGACCCAGAAAATAACTTTGGTTGATTAAATCTCTAAAATATGCAAATATCAGACACCTAATATTAGGCTTAAGCACCTAAAAGTCCAAGTTGTACTTTATGTAATCCAGTAAGGACAATGAAAATAGGAAAAGCTGTTTAAATTGTATTTGGGGGGACTTAATATTTTCTTTTCCTTTTACTATAAAATATTTTAAACACATTAATCAAGAACAGCCATAAATGAAATGTACAAAATACTTAAAAGATGATTTAAGCCCTAACTGGTTTGGCTTAATGGATAGAGTATCCGCCTGGGGACTCAAGGGTCCCAGGTTCGATTCCGGTCAAGGGCATGTACCTTGGTTGCAGGCACATACCCAACAGGGAGTGTGCAGGAGGCAGCTGATCGATGTTTCTCTCTCATCGATGTTTCTAACTCTCTATCTCTCTCCCTTCTTCTCTGTAAGAAATCAATAAAATATATTTTTAAAAAGATAACTTAAATAAAAGGGAAACAAGATGAAAAGTTTACATACCGATTGTAGAAATCATCTCTGTAGTAATCATAGTCGAAGACGTAACCACTAAGGGGAGAAACAAAAAAATTAGTTGACATTTGTTTCACACATTGATTTTTGGTACTAATATATGATGTTCTAGAAAGCAATTTAGTCGCTTTATAAATACTTAGTTTTCAATGTAATTATGTGTCTAAAGAGTTTTCAAGGTAATGTTTCCTTGTCTATCACAGCGTGTCAGAGAACTGCCATATGTCTGACATGGTAGAGACTGATGTTGGTTGGAATGGAAGATGAGAGCAGGAAGCAAAATAAAATATTTCAATACTTGTAATTAAACATGATTGAAGCCCATTTTTTTTCTAGACAAGATATAATATAGCTGTCTCTTCTTCCTAAGGTCTGTACAATGAGGCTAACCAATGAACAGAAGGACTCAAAATAGCACAAATGAAAGGGTTTAGGGGCCCATTCTCTCTAAGAATGGAAGTAGGAATGTGGTTTTCTCAGAAATTCAGCTTTTAAAATTGTAACACTATGATTCAATACTTTTACATAGAGAAAATTTTTTAAAAAGGTCACTTTGGCTGAATCACACCAACTACAACAATATTATTGAGTATTTAGATAGGAATTAAAAAGTACATTTCAGTGATAAGATGGTTATAACTAAGTACCTTAAAGGGATATATTACACACTTTGTCCCCATGCACTATAGTGTGGAGTTGATAAAGCACTTTCTATGCAGTGTTTTCTTTTAATCTTGTCCTCAAAACAACCCTGGCTGGATACTGTAACTGGAAGAAACTAAAGCGCAAAGGACCTCAGTGACTTGCTCAAAATTTAAAAAATATTGAATTGAGTTTTTACTTAGTGATTTTGAGAAAGATAGATAGATAGATAGATAGATAGATAGAGAGAGAGAGAGCTCTGCTGTTCCATTATTTATGCATCACTGGCTGATTCTTGTATGTGCCCTGACCAGGGATCCCCAACCTTGGTGTACCAGGACTACATGCTAACCAACTGAGCTACTCATCCAAGCAATTGCTCCAATGTTTACCACTAGGAAGTGACAGAGCCAACACTGGAGGAAAACACTCCAGAATCCAGGTCTGGAGCGCTGTGGTGACGCTGTGCGACCGCCCAAGCTGGGAGAAGTTTACTCTCACGCCAACCCTGTACCTGCTCTACAAGGAAGTGATTATTTTTAACATTTAGTCATTTATTTTGTCACACAGCTTATGATTTTAGCCCATTTTATGTATGCAATTCAGCACCATTAGGTACATTCACAATGTTGTGCAAACATCAGCACTATCCACTACCAGAGTTTTCATCTTCCCAGACATTCTGTAATGCATCCTCTCCCCCACAGCCCTGTAACCTCCATCCTACTTTCTGTCTTTGTGAATTTGCCTAGTCTAGGTTTGTCCTATAAGTGGAATTGTACCATATTGGTCCTTTTCGTCTGGCTTGTTTCAGTTATCAAAACGTTTTCAAAGTTTATCCATGTTGTAGCACGTAACAGAATTTCACTTCATTCCTTTTTTATGACTGAATAATATAACAGTGTGTATATATCCTATATAATAAAGAGTTAATATGCTAATTAGACTGGACAGTGGAATGAACTTCTGGAACAACCTTCCAGATGAACTTCCGGAATGAGCAGTTGGTGGGGCCTCAGAGCCTGGGCTGTGAGGCAGCCTGAGCTTCAAGGGCTGA